GCTCTTGGAATGCCACTTGTCCAATCAAATTAGGGGACTGGAACGATCTGTTGTATGATGTCTCTTAACACTGAAAGCATTCAGAAAGTAAAACAATTCCAAACAAACGAAAAACAAAATAAAACCACCCTTGGTATGAACGCTGTTCTCCACAACCTCATGGCTGTATTTGCAGCAGTTTTACAAGTAATATTTATCAGTTGCCTTTGTAGTTTTTCTGTACCATCGTAGAGACTTCGTAGTACTTCTACAAGTTCCACAAATTTTGTTCTGGTTTCTTATTTGCACTGTAAATCTCATATCTTCAAGAGAGGAAAAAAGAGATACCAGGGAGATACCAGAGAAGGTGATAACAGGAACAAACCGGTTTCATTAAATGTAACTATAAATGGATAAAAAGTATGATGTGTTATTCTTCAAATAAAAATAGTCAAAATGCTATGGTATAAGAGGAATAAAACACAATGGAACATGCTCTTATAGGAAACTAGTCAACTTCAGGGTTATAACAGTAGCTCGACTTAGTGCTGCCCAGCACTACTTTGGTCATTGATTATTTTCCTATAAGGGCACACCCTGTAGTGTTTTTTCATTATGTAATTGCCATTTTGCTTTTGTCTGTTGCAATAATAGTAAACATATTGTCTGAAATTGTTCTGCTTTTTCGATTAAAACTGGATCCAACTCACTGAAAGACCTCTGTTCTGTCGATCAGACAGGAGTGCGGGGGACCTGTGTTTTTATTAAACATCATTGTGTGTGTGTATGTGTGTGTGTGTGTGTGAGGATATGGTTCTCCCTGGTTGTTTTGTACACGCTGTGCTCAGCTGCTCAGGTTAACAGGTGCTGCAGTGTTGGTGTCATGGTTGCAGTGGGTTCAGTGAGGTGTGATGATGAGCTCTGGACTCCGTCAGGTCTGGCTCTCCTGTGTGTGTGTGTGTGTGTGTGTGTGTTTGAGCCTTTCCCATGTTCCCAGGCCATGTCTGTGGGGGAGTGCTGTGGTCTGAGTGTAACTCTCTGCTGCTCGCCGTCTGGCTGCCAGCTGTGGGTAGTGGTCAGAGAAAGTGGGTCACACAACAGCAGCGTTAAAATCATGGAGCAGCAGGACAGAGTGTGGAGAGAAATTAGTCTAGGAACAACAGCAGTCTGCTGCATCTTCCTTCTCGAAGCCTTTACAGAGCAATTAAAAGATGAAGAAACAAAAAACAATAAGTTGGATCATGACAGTGTTGGGCAGGAAGTAAAATGTTCCAAATAAATTCCAGTCATGCAGACATTTCAATTAAAATTACAAAATGATGGCTGTAAAGAATATCAATTAAAAAAAAAAAGATTGACCTGGCAAGATTTCTGTGAAAAATCAACCAATCTGTGGAAACATTAACAAAAGCTGCATTCTTGATCCTATATACTTTAACCTGCGACACGGAAATTGATCGAAGTCCACCATCTTTAAGGACAAATCAATTCCCTAAATGCGCTCAGAGGAATCAAGGACAAGGAAAGATCAAGGCTTCCTAATCAATGATACTCAAATACACAGAGTCACAAACGCCGGATAAAAGTTGTGTATTTTCCTTATATCCTCAGTGAAAGTACAGAAAGTAAAGCAAGAAGCAAAATTAAAGCAATGAGAAGCACAGAAAGCATTTGATAATAGTTTGTTTACTCCTTTAGCTAGCTTAGAAATAAAAGTGACAGTTACATTAATGTTTGGACTCTAAGATTATTTTCTGGCTATCAAATTGTTCTGAAGTCTACAACTGCATATCATATTAACAATACATTACCTAGTCAGCAATAGGCTAACTGCAAACACATTTAGCCACCTTCGCTGCATAGCCAAATAACCGAAGACGCTAATGTGTTCATGTTTTTCACTTAATGGTGTTTTTTAATGTTTTTTTTTAATCCAGTCTTTTTTAAGATTTTATTTCTAGTAATGCTTGTGTTAATATGTGTTCTGTAGCTAAAAATGTACAGTTTGTGTCTCCTTGTAAAAAATAGGGGTGAGTAGAAAAAACCCTCGATTTTGATGCAGTTAACGTTGAAGCCATGACTTAGCATTTTTGCTGTGGCTAGCGATATTGTCTTAATTGCAGTTCAGCTAAATAGAGTTTTCCATATACACTAGCAAGCTAGCTAACCATAAACCAGTAAAAACACAAAAAATAAAACAGCTAGAGCTATTTAAGCTTCCCTAACTGACTGTTCACTTCACTACCTCTTTTTATGGAACAATTTGTAGTCATATAGAAAAGAGTTATATAAAATCTAAGGCTTTGACACTGCTAAAATTAGTGCTTTCTCCATTTTGAGTCTTGTCTGTAAAATAGCATGCAGCCAAAGCAGTTGTGCTACTGGTTGACGATGACAGTTCGCATATCAGAGTTCACTGAAGATAAAGTTTTGTTTGGGTGCAAAAAAATGTGTTTGTGTCAGAAGCCTTGTGATGAAAATGCTGACTGTGGCAAATTCCATTGAAATAAATATAATTTTGCTACAAAAAAATCTAGTGTGAAGTATAGTGCATTGTTGCATTCTCCCGTAATCCTGTCTTATCACATGCTTTGTTTGCTTTGTAGAATGTTCTTTGAGTGACGTGGAATATCCCAAACTGAAGCATCCTACAGACGGAGATCTAGGTCACAGTATATTTACTGATACAGTGTAGATTGCATGTTGAGAAACTGATCCTAAAGGACGTGATGTTCAGAAATCAAGGCCCTTGAGCTGGGCCTGTAGTTCACTCTTCATCTCTTTCCTCATCTCTTTCCTTGCTTTTCCCTCCCCCATGTGTAGTGTGTAAATCCCAGCCCCCCACCTCAGCACTCCTGCAACTGTAGAGGAAAGATCAGTGTAGATTAGTGCTGATTTGAGATCCAGGCCTATCATCTGGCTGTACTGTGTTATCAGAGCATGTTTTGCTTTCACTACTTAGCAATATATCATTTGTATAAGGAAGAGATGTTCATGAACACACCGTCACAGCCATTTCCCCTGCGGGCCACGAGAGCAGGGGGTCTGGGTTTGATCCAATTGCGCCCCGGGATTGTTTGTCTAGTTAATGCATGAGGAAACGCCTAATGAATGCCTCGACTGGTGCAGCCAAAACATTGCTGAGATGCAGAATTTAATCCACTGCCTGAAAGCAGGGTGGGCCATGTAGTAACCACTCACCACAATGCATGCTTCTAAGTATATCGTGGATATGTTTAGTGCTTATGAAACAGTAGTGGTTAGTGTTTTGTTTTATTTTTTTTAAAAAAAGGAAAGATAGAGAGAGATTTAGACCAATTTACAAAATCTGAAAATAACCAGTAGTGTCACACTGTTGTCTGCAGTAATAATATGGCTTATTATTTCAGCAATAGTTGAAGAAATAGTAGCAGTGGTGCTTTATGTTACCACTTCTGACTAGAGCTACGGACTCTGAACAGACGAAACATTGGTATTGCTCTCTCAATTCATCTTTAAACATTCTGTTTCGTGTCAGTTCACTAATCAGACTAGAGAGGATAATTAAAATGAAAATCTATTAAAGTCTGTGAGATGACTCTCTCTCCCTCTGGGCTGCCTTCAGCTAAATGATTTACATAAATGCATGTGACTGGATAAATTGCAGCAGAGGATATGCTACAGAAACAGCGCTGAAAACAGCAGTCACTGAACTATGGCCGAGACAATATTTTACAGGATTTTACTGCTCTGCAGCAGCGTTTTGTCCACTACTCGGTTCGGGTTCTGCTGAAAAACTTTGCTCAGTCTGCCAGTTGACGCCCCTCAGTTACAATTTCTAACATTTTTACACTAGCCCGCACCCCTGTGCAGAACAATTTCCCTGCATTTGGTCTGAAACTCTTTACACGATAAGCTGAATCCGTTTTTACACAGACACTTCTTTGAGCATAGCATGATGTCTGACATGTGTTTCTACTAACACAAGCTTTTTTTAACTGCTAAAAAGTGTTGTGACCTTTTCCACGATTGTACACCAGACATTCAAAGTCATTTGACTGCGACATTCTTGCTGCATCTTTATAGTCCAGAGATGGGTTAGAGTAATACTGATGGCTTGAGATAGATGTGTGTTTACATAAGAGTCTGCCCTGACTAAGAGGGACACAGTCTGCCTCACTGCACCGTTTCCTGAATCCCCCTCTTTCCTCCTGAACCTCTGACCCCGCTCGACCTCCTGCTCAACGCTGGTTCATGTCTGAATGTTTGATTTTATGATGGAGGCTATGTGTGCTGTGCATATACCTCAGACTTCACTCGACCAGGAGCTTAGTGATGGCGCTTTGGGCTGCTAAAGCGGTGCATTGTGGGTCATCGTTGGTTGCTATGGTGATTTGGCAGCTTGTTTGTCCTCTGATCCAGCGCCGGACCTCACTACCCTCTCATTAGGATGAACTTGTGATTTGGCTTAGTGAGCTCTGAAGGGGCCGACATGGGTGGGAACGAATATCCAAGCCACACACACACACACACACCATCTCACTCTCTCTTATTCATTCCACGGCTTTTGTCATGAAATTGCTATGCGCTAGCTTTTCAGAATAATTACTGTACTGCAGAACAGAGCCGAAGTACACGCTCTCATTTCTCTCTTTCATTTCTTTCCCTCTGTCAGAATTTATCTCCCCAGGAACGGATCATACCCGAGTGTTTATAGCTCACTGGCACACATTGTTTCTGTCCCACCCACTTTACACTAAATCATTGATTTCAGCAGAAGCCTGGCTTTTTATCGACTCCACATGTGTCGATAAAGTCTAATGAGTCTATTGCACAAGTCAGGAACCTATTAGTAATATTCATTTCAGGCAAAGCTACTATTTTAAGGAAATGAACATTTGAACATTCAGTGTATCGTCACTTAATGTTTCATTTTTATGCTATTAAGCTAGAAGATGCCAGATGTACCAGACAGTTCCCAGCTTCATAACAGACTGGACGCTAAAATCCAGAGTCCCTTGTATTTATCTCATTTATACAACTGAGCAGTTGAGGGATTTGAACTCACAACCTTCCAATCAGTAGTCCAATGTCTTAACCACTGAGCTACCACTGCCCTAAACTTTTTTATTAAAAAAAAAAAAAAGACCTAGAATTTCTGTAGGGGTTCAATCCTGAGCTCAAGTTACTGTCTGTGTAGGATTTCCATGTTCTCCCCGTGTCTGTATGGGTTTCCTCCAGGTTCTCGGGTTTCCTCCAGGTTCTTCGGTTTCCTCCAGGTTCTCGGGTTTCCTCAGGGTTCTTCGGTTTCCTCCAGGTTCTCGGGTTTCCTCCCATCTCCCAAAAACATGCCTGTAAGAAGATTGGATATGCTAAATTACCCCTAGGTATGAATCAATGTGCGAATGGGTGTACTCCCACCTGATGTCCAGTTTTCCCAAGATAGGCTCCGGATCCACTACAACCATCAGCAAGTACTGACGATGAATGAAAAATGGGCTTAGAGTTTCTAAAGGATTTAAGAAATATGACATTTTGCTGGCACTTCAGCGAACTTCAATATGGTGATCAGCTGTGTATCATGAAAAAGTATTGCGATGTCTTTTTTTGTTTTGTGATATTTCTTATGGGATAATGGGATAATTTTTTAAATTGGATATTCTCACTGAGCTTGTGGGTATGAAGTCAGGGTCATTTTTATTATGTGCATAATTTGCAACTAAGCCATTGTTGTTAGGGGAAAAAAGTCAAATATCACAAGAAAGGTTGCACAAAACTTCAGATCAGTCAGCAGCGCTTAGCCTGTTAGCCTGAATATCAGGTTAACTTTGCCATATTTAATCATTTTTTCAGCGTAATATGGTTGAGTTTTAGACAAAAAGCCAAAGTGCAACTGTTTTACCCAGCTATCAACCGTAAAGTGTATGCTAGTCTTGGTTTTGATGATATACCACCACATTACTGATATCGTGATACATTACATTTATCCAATAATTTGCAACAATCAGCTGACTTGAAGTAACTGGATGTTTGTACCAAGGGTTTTCCTTCGTTTCCATGTTAAAAACCTCATTGTAGGAGATGTATCATGTTAAACATTGAGTTGTGGCACTCTGTTAGCAAATATTATGATACATATAATCAGTCAACCAATCTATTCTGATTGGTCAGAAGGTGCTGATTAGTTTTCGCTTAACAGCAGCTCTGAATGTAGTTTCAGCTGTAATTCAAATCAATGTTTTTGTTTTATGCACTTATTCTAATACGTTATCATTTCTAGTAATGGGCCATTTACAGGGTCTTGCATGGTGGACACTCAGCATAAACGCTTTGAAAGACCATGTGTAATCATTGATAAGGTGAAATTTTCTGTGAGGAAGCGTTTATTTGACATTTATGGAAGGAGTGTCCGGTGTCAGCACTTTGTCACAGTCAGCTCAGAGGAGGTTGTGGTTTCTCTGTAATATGACAAGATGAATTTTTTTTTGTCTTATTGATTTCAAGGTGTAAAGGTAAAGCAGTTACTGAAGATAAATGATTCAGTGGGAACTAATTTGATTTTCCACAACATAAAATGTAACTATAAACAAATGTAAAAAAATTTTTTGTTTTTTTATTAATAAAAAAAGTAATTATTGGCAAATTGCTGCAGTATAAGAGGAACTTCAGGACATGTTGATATAGGAAAATAATCAACTTCGGGGTGCCTTGTGTCCGGCTGCATTATACCAACCTGTCGTTGATTATTATCCTATAACAGGACACCCCAAAGTGTTTTATTGCCCACCTCTAGGTTTCCACTAATCCATAGATTTATGGATTCTGAATTAAGGAATAATTAGGCCTAATAACCATTTTATTTGGCACTGCAAGCTAGATAAGTTCCTGAACCCTGGCTAACTAGCTCTTTTTCCAATAAAATTCCAAAAAGTATTTTCCAGTCTGATTTGCCAGTTTAACCCCAGCATCCCAGTGATTTTATTTAATGCAGCATAGCCCCCAGATTGATAACTCGTCCCAGAATCCCAGAAGCAAATGCTGTGTAATGGAGCAGCAGGATCAGCACTGAACCCATCAACTGGTGCCACCACTCAAGTGTGCAACATGACCAGTCTACTGGTCACTCACAAAATGGTGTGTGTATGTGGTATAAACCTACTGTAAAAGGAAACATGGGTTTATGCAAATTGACTGGTTGCATGTGCTGAGGAATGTGTTTTTCTGACCTGCTCCTCCACTGAACATAGTTAATGATTATACAAGAGGCACTGTGTGTGGCCAATCCAACAGAGGGGGGAGACGGTCAAGTGTGTACCAACACCTCAGTCAGCAGATAGCATGACATGCCGTACATCCTGCAGTGTGTCCATGCTTTTTTTTTTTTTTTTAAAGGGAAGGGTGCAGTAAACCTCTGGCCGTCCTCCAGCTCACTAGAAATGATTGGCTATCCGCAGAGGCCAGCACTTGGCACAGCTTTAGCCACTAGCGGAAATACACAGGGCTTGTCCTTGAAGACTGTTTGCAAATGCTGGCTTGTACAAAACAGCTCCAAGTAACAGGCATGATCCAAGATAAGCTTCTCCCCCAGCGTTTCACTTCATTCAACTGTTAATTCCAGTTAGTGGTGGGAATGTGGAGGTTCTCCATGACTCAGTTCAGGTTCCACTCAGGGTGCTAAAGGTGTGATTCTAAAAACTTTTTGATGCATCTTGATTTTAAATTTTATTGGCTATCAGTTTAGATTGATCTAAGAATAGGGCTTTGTGTAAATCTATGCTACTTGATATACTTTAAGGTATAATGATAAAGATATGTAAAATAAGTTTCTATTTCGTAATACAAAATTATACCACAGCACAGGTGAATCCTTGAATTAGAAGCTGTTGATTAATTTTCTATAACAGCAGCTCTGACAGTAGTTCCAGCTGCAACATAAATCACAGGTGCATACTGATGCACTCATTCTAATGCGTTATTGTTTCTATAGTAACAATTTGTAAGGCGGAAACTCCACACTTTCATTCGTTAATAAATTAAAGATTGTCATCGTTGGCAAATCGCTGTGGCATATGAGAAGCAACACACTTCGGACCATGCAGTTATAGAAAAATAATCAACTTTGGGTTAGTAACAGATTATTTTCCTTTAAGTGTTTTATTCTTCTTATACCACAGCAATCAGCCATTAGTTTTTTGTTGATTAAAGATTGACGCATCATACTTTTTTCCATTTATAGTTAGGTTTAATGTTGTGTAACGTTTACAATTTAGTTCCTGTTATCACTTATGTTGTAAACCCAGCAACCAACCAACCCTTGAAGTCTAATAAGACAGAAAAAGGCAGCTTATTTCTTTACTGAGAAACCGCAAAATACAATAAACTTAACCATATCAAAGATTATACGTTTTTCTTTGTTAAATAACAGCAAAATCAGATTATTATTAGGCTTACATGAGCTGTTACTACAGAAACGATAATGTGATTTGCCTTGCAGGAACTACTGTCAGAGCTGCTGTTATAGAAAGTTAACAAAACAATATATTGTGTAAACTTAGTGTCAGTATATGACCTCTGACCTCTGGACCTCTTAGCGTGTGTTCAGTTAGCCATTACACTCCCAGCAGGTCAAAGTGTGAAGTGTCTGAGTGACTTTTTGTTTCCGTTTGGATCTGATTGTATATTACAGTAAAAAATAGAAAGAACAGGAGCAGTGAGCAGGTGTGTTGAAAGCTCTAACCCTCTTATCAGGACTAAAGAAGCTCTCCCTGGCTGATCTGCTAATGTTGACATGGTGTTTTAATGAGGCTCTCTCTCCGTAATGGGATGGGAGGATGAGAGGAGGACGACTAACAGCCTCAGGACGTGGGAGGTCATGCCTCTGACTCGTGTAGGGTGCAGCAGGTGCAGTCGTGACTGAACATGTGAATTCAGTATACATTTGAAACATTTCTGTTGTTGTTATTAGAAAGGGAGGAGTTATGAGCATAAGTTTGTACACCCACACCCTGACACCTCAGATACAGACGAGAGGTTTGTAGGACAAGGAAGTTTTTGCCAGGAAATATATTTGCAAGCTCGATCCAACAATCTATCACAATGAGTCATGCTGTAATATTTTAGAGAGAAAGAGGAAGCTGAACCAGGAGTCCTGCTGGAACAGACACAAGGAAGAGAAAAGCTTTACGCTTCCTATGCGGTATTGAACTATTGCGCTGTGCCTGATAGCAGCTGTTTCAGACTTTACATTGTGAAACACAGCACGCAAACACAAACACAGTTCAGTGTCCCGCTCTTTCACCATCTGTCTATTTACATTTACATTTAGCAGACGCTCTTATCTACAGAGACTTACGGAAATGCTTTGTCTTGTACGTGGGAAAACATGTTGGTGCGGATCAATGTGATTGTACAAGATATCAGCAGGCTAAGAAAGAGCAGCAAGCGATCATACACGTATGAAAACATCACAAATTAATAAATGCCCAATACCTGCTTGGTAAGAGTTTGTTAAATTCTTTTTTTTTTCATAATTCATAATTTCTATCAGTTTATAGATACATTTAATGTTGTGGAATATCCACGAAACAAGTTTTTTCCTCTTATTGCTTATATTATAGCAACTATAAACAGTCGCTCCCTCACCAGCCTCTCCTTTTTTTCCTCTCTCTTGAAGTTTGTAAGAAAAAAAAGCAGCTTGTCATTCTACCAGGAAACTAGAAAACTCGTCTAGGCATATATTAACCATAAATGTTAAATAAACATTTCCTTACGGAAAACTTATCCATATCAGTTATTTATTGTTGCTATTTATTAACTAATATATTTTCTCTCATTATTGATGCTGTGTATTTTTTGTTTTTATTATTACAAGGATATCTGTCATGAATTTTTACAGCACAAATGCTTTAATTCTTTGATTATAAAACACTGTGATTCGACAGGATTTTAGCATTTTTTGTCAAGAATTGGTTGAAATTATAAATATTTTAATTTTGCTAATGAGCTTTTCCATCATTGGTGGAAATTCAATCAATTAACAACAGTGTTAATTAAAGCTCTTGATCCATGTTGGACTTAACATGCAGTTGACTTGTGATCAATGGGATTGTTCCAATCGC